AACTTAAAATGTCGAAAAAAATTTAAAAATATAAAATATTGGAAGAACGATTGTTTTAGAAGATGATTGATAAAGATATTATTATTATTACACAGTTTATATGGGCTTATGTTGTTTTAAATATATTATTGGTCAGTCAGACTGTCGGTCATTCAGTGCAATCAAATACATAAGAAAGAGGGTGTGGGTGTTGATCTCTCCTTCACCCTCACCCACACCCACAAGAGAAAAATCTGGCAAACGTATAACGACACGAAAAAGAGAAATAAATGAAGAAAAGATGAAGAAGATAGCGAAGTAGTGAAAGAGAGAGATGAAGAAAAAAATGCTATAAGAGACTCGACCGGCGGTAAATCCGATTGTTTGTCCTTCTCACTGTAGTTTTCTACTTTAATGAGCATATTTATATATCTCTCTCTCTCTCATTCTTCTTGCATTATTCTAACTGGCTACTTTTTTTTCTCTTCATCTTGTCATTCATATAGACGATGCCAGAGTTACTTCGTGACAGTCTGGTAGGCAAAGAAAAGAAGAACACAAATTAACCAATGGTTGCTTGATTTCTTTTTCCTCTTCGGTCGTTTAATGATTGATTACTTTTTCTCTCGTTCGTCATTTTTCTTATGTATACCTATATTAAGGTGAGATTGTTTTTTTTTATGTAGATAAATCAAATACATCAAACTCTTCTATTTGAAAATAAATATTGTTGATTCATATTATTGTTGAAAACGCCACACTATAGGCGACTGACTTTCTAGTGAAAACTCATTATGTACGAAATGCGATATTAAATTGGATTTGCCAACATCAGAATCACATGTTAATACAATTTCAATAACAAATCATGCATGAGAAAGAGACGATGTTATATCATATTCCTCTGCAGTGTAAAACTGTTCAGTAATTAAAAGATAGACAAATGCTCTCCTTCAAACCAAGTATGGCTATTTGGGCCATGTTTCCGCAAAAAAAAACTGTCAGACAAAATCAAAGTGCCATGATTAAATAACATCGCGTACATGCGAACAGTTCTGCTTCAATAAAAACAGCTTGATCATGTTCTACAGTATTAATCTCGCAGAAATTGCGCTGAAACATCTTTTAAATGTACCGATCCTATTTGTCTTCAACTTATTTTTTAAAAATCGTATACGATTGTAGACTTTGATGATCACTTAAAATGTATTTGCCCATAGTGTCCAATTTAGTCAGTAGCACTTACTGATTCCGAATGGCTTGAATTTCGGTCGGTTCGAGCCATCGATCGAGTATTACAACATCGGCAATGCGTTCATGCCAGAAATTTTCCATGAAGATTTTAACATCAATATGCAACGTGAGAGGCATTTGCATCCGTTGATGTTCCTATCGTTGATCATAGCGATAGTGCCGAGGAAAATCAATGACACCATTGCTTGTTCGAGTTATATCGACATGATATTGAAGTTGACCATTAACAAATAATTGTTGTTTATTATGGGAAACCAGGGCCACAACATGACATCAAGTGTTTTTTGTCATACGATGCGGTGCACTACAAAAGAAACGTATACGATCGGTTTATATGTGTGTGGGTGTGGGCGTATGTGAGTGTGGGTGAATTAAGAGCATATTCACACCTACCTGACACTCACATCTACAATCATACCCACACTCCACCTCCACACCGGACATCTACACCTACGATCACACCCACACACCCACCTACATCCTGGTCGAAAACTCAGCATTTTACTGACCTATCGCTGAGGCCTCGACCTGTCGAAAAGTGAGAACCTCGGGGGCCCGTCCATAATTTCGATGCCCATAGTAACCTTAAATGGACGTGTTGAAATACCTATCGGATGGCCGGTTGGAAAGTAGGGTGTAGGTGTGGATGTACAAAAGCAGTAGACCCACACCACACAAGTACACTCATAAAGTCGTCATAGATTGTGCTACCTAATGGGTAGGATTCGAGCCCATCCATAGAGTCATCCGGTTGGTGATAGGTTGCCCATAGGGTAAGAAAAAACTATTTCCAGAATCTCAGGATTGAATTTTTATATGATCGAAGTCGATAGGGTTCTCATTTACGAGTAGAGCCTATTCGCTATGATTTAGATTTTGATCACATGAGGATTACTCAGAAAGTTTCTAGCTATATTAAAACGTTGACTGAGCAGGTAACAGCATCAGTTTATTCATGTTAGTTATCATTGACTCGTTATCATTGAGTTATACGATAACATAGAATGTCATGAAGCATTTGGTGTTCCGACAAGACACTTATCTTTTCTTTGTGCTTTAGTTTCTTTTTCCTTCGTACTCGTATTCTCTTGGAGCAGATACAAGTGTAATATCATCGTCTCAATGGACTCAAAAGGGCCGAAATACATAAACTGTGATGGACATTTAATACCGTCTGGTTTTCCATGTGATAAATTTAAATCTGCTTTGGAATTTTATCCGAAACCGAACACGATTTTGATTTGTACCTACGCAAAATGTGGAACAACATGGATGCAAAATATCGTATATTTATTACTGCATGCTGGGGAACCGTTTCCAACTCATCTACAAATCAATAACGAAATACCATTCTTGGAACTCCACGGTAGCACGTACTGTGAGAATTATGCCGCGTTGAAAACACACTTACCACTAAATTTATTGCATTGGAATGAGCAAGCCAAGTACATCTTAGTGGCACGCAACCCAAAAGATTGCTGTGTTTCCTTTTTTCATCACACGCGTGGCTTTGTACAATTGTATGATTATGCACATGGTACATTTGATGACTACTTTCAACGATTCCTAAATGGAGAAGTTGATACTGGTGATTATTTCAATTATTTTGCCTCATGGGAATCTCGGCTCAACGATCAAAATGTTTTCTTCTGTACTTATGAACAACTCATATGTGACACAAAAGAAATAGTAAAACGGCTAGCTGCATTCCTCGAAATTGAAATCGATGATAATATTTTGGAAAAAGTACTTCACTACTGTTCTTTTCAATCGATGGAAAAAGATCCTCATCGTTGGAATTTTGAGCGACCCAAAGATATGCCACCATTTATTAGAAAAGGCGAGATTGGTGACTGGCGCAATTATTTTAATGAAGAACAGTCTAAACTTATCGACACAAAAGTTGAAAAATTTCCTTTGATGAAGAAACTTTGGGGAAAATTCATGTAACATGCTCAGACTAGTTTCGTGTTCTATTCTGTTTCGTAGCATGATGACAAGAAAAGACAATAAACCATCATCATTTTCATACATAAGGGTGTAGGTGTGAGTGAGGGTGGGTGTGTGGATGTAGCTGTGTGTGTTAGTCTTCTATTCAAGGAGACCTACATCCACACCCACCACCGCACACCCGAATTCGGATTTTTCTTAGAAGGATATGCTTCTAGATAGAGTCAGCTATTGGCATTAATTGAATCAAGTATACGGTCATCTTTGATGTTGAAAATTTAACATGATCTTTGAGTAAATTCAAGACTAAAACTTGTTTCAAGGAATCAAAGTAAATAAAACCAAGCAATGGACATGAAATTATGCTAGATCATTGAAAAATTGTTAACAATACTAATCATTACTGTGTGTTTCTTAAACTATTGCTAACTTTTTTCATGTGTTTGGTAGAACACTTGCTTCAGAAAAAGTATTGTGTTTTTATTCTTTCATCAAATTTGTAGCTGACGTGTTCTTGTCTACTTTAGTTAAATGTTCGTCAATCGACAAATCTTGCCATGTATCAGATTCAGAAGAAGGATAACTTGTATCGATTGTAGCAATCAATTTGAGTTGGTGATTCTGCAGAACTTAAAGAAAAAATTGACTATCATTATGTGGACGACAATGAATATCACTAAGTGATGCTTCGATACCGACATAGCCCAAACGATGTAATCCAGCAAATATTCGAAGACTTTTTATCCGTTGCATAACCAAGCTAAATAAGGGACAAAAAAGGACAGTTATCGGAGAAGACAAAATCTGTTTTTCATTCTTCTTCTGAATTCTTGAATACTGTTGGATCAACAAACGAATAATGATAGTTGACACTAAATTTTGAATCCAAAATAACCGATGTTCATCGAGACTTAACTCGAAAGAGCGAAAGAAAAAAAATGAATTTCTTTCTCAATGTGAGTATTATTGAAAAAAGTTATTATCCAAATCAACGACTCCACTTGCAACCTATTATTATATCGGATTTTATTCACAAGAAACTATTTCAAGTTCCATTCAATGTGTGTATCATAATTACCGTTTACAATTGTGCAATTTTATATTGCAGCTAAAGAATCAGAATTGTATTCGTCTTCGTTTCTAACCATGATTCATATAGGCAGCATTTTTCAGGGGTAGAATTTCATACAAACAGATGCCCCTCTTTTTTTTCTGTTCTTCGGTTTAGTCTATTATTTACCGTTGCTTCATTCTCTTGATGAGCTCTCGTTGTGTTTCTTCAATGAGAAGTCTGACGATTCGTCGTTTTCATCCGTTCTGTTTTCTTCAAACCGTTGACATGCATTTGCTGCCGGTTGTTGCTTAGTGAAGCATCGAAGTTGGATGAATGTATAACATCAATAACAAGAGAATAAGAAGAAAAATCAATAGTCATTTATCGTAAAACATTTTTTTCCTCTATTCTGTTTTATTCTCTTAGCAACATCTCAAACTTGAATCTCAGTCTTATTCAGCAAGAAAATAATAAAAACAACTATTCGATCCTCATTCAACTACCCGTTGAACAACAAGTGATTTTTAATCTTCAGATTAGATCATTCGCAACAACTTGATCGTAGTCAGTAATCACTCAACTAAAATTAAAACTCATCGATTTATCATTGTCTTTATTTGATTCTGTAGATAACTATATATGTATCCAACGGTGATTTATCGGAGAAGTTCACCTGTGACGACACCGACATATATATATGTTGATCCTCATCAATACTCAACATCATTTGAATCTCCTTGCAGAATATTCGTGGAAACTGACAATCGAAATGATGCTGCACTCGCGGATACTCGAACCATTCGTCGTGAGCTGACTCAAATCAAGCATGATATTAAAGAATTGAAACAAAAGCAAACATCACCAAATTACTATCTTATTCAACAAGACTATCCAAATGATCTTTGTCCAACTTGTAACACATCATTAAAAACTCAATTCGATTCGATTTATTATTGTAATCAATGTCACAGTTTTGTCGCAGATCGAGTCACTCCTATGCAACCAACAATTCGAACAAAGACTCCTACTACTACCTATCAGGATAGTTATGTACGAGTACCATCATCGTCTCCAGGACATTCACACTATGCAATATACAGAGAACGACCAAAGACATCCGACAAGCTGAGAAATCAATCTATACTTTCATCATCACCTGCTTTACATAGCAAACCTTGGATACCGGGGACATCCAAAAATGCTTATCCGAATCGACGTTGGTATTTTAGTGGATCATATCCTGAACCGTAAAATAACGATCCTAAATGAAACTCATACTCTCGATCTGTTTTCAGAAGTCTAAATTTGAATATAATATTTAATGAAATTAATACTGAATGAAATAGAGAAAAATCTTGTGCGATAAATAAGATAGTAAAGATACGATTAGCAAGTTTGAGTTCAACATTTGGTTCATTGTTGTATAGAATTCAAACGAGAAATTGTTTTTAGAATTGTTTCGAAATGCCTCTTTTGAGTAAAAAAAATGGTTAAGACGTCAGGTGTGGGTGTGGGTGCCAATTAATCTTGATCGACAACTAGACGCACACCCACATCTACACCCATACTTATCCGCACACCCCACCCACACCCACACCCAATACTAATCGTATATCAAATGAACATTTTCAAAAAATTTTCGACTATTCTCACCATCAGCTACCAATAGAAAAAAAATCGACCAATTATACTATTCCAACTTAATTTACCACATTCTACTTGACCATGTCAGAAATCATAAGGTGATAAAAGCATATGAATAATCCCACCAATAAATGGTACAGTTAATTTTGATCCGGAAAGAGAACCACGTTTAGACATATACACAAATTGTTCATGTAAACCAGTCATCCTATTCCACGATGTTGAACATATGGGAATCAGTTCCGCTCACAGAATCAATTCCATCCAATTCTCGAAATTCCCAGAATTCCAATAATTGAGTCCAGTCGCAATTCCAGGGAATTTCGGAAATCAGGTCAAAGCGAAATTGGATGGAATTCCTGAGAATTTCGTCGACTCCCAACTCTATCTGATTCCGGAATTAAGTTGAAGTGTGGGTGTGGATAAAAAGAAGATTCTCACCCATACCCCCGCACCCAAATCTACCAGATGCATAAAAAATGGTATATCAAGACTATGGATGTAGGTAAGCCGTAGCTCACACTCACACACTCATCTTATAATCAAAAACTTCTCTCATCATTAAGGTATGGTGGTACAATAACATTGATGTTAGATGGAGTATTTCCATCAACATTCGAAATCCACCGTGATACCGACAAGGCACTTGTAGTTTTAACGGAAATATTGAAAACTCTTCCGATGTTTGATCGCTTCGAGAAATAGTAGTGTCGATCTTATCATCTCTTCGTTGTCTTGAATATATAAAAAAAAGTATCATTTTTCGGTCTTGCTGATTATCTGAGTCAACTGTTCGCTGATCGCTGAATGAATGCTGGAGAGATCAATTAGCATCGAGACTTTTTTCATTACAGTCGTTTCAAAAATCATTTTATGAGGTAATATGTGACTAGGAAATGAGCTATGTTTTGGTTAATTTGGACTCTTCATGAATATGGATAATCAATTTATGGTGAGTTATATCAAGCATGAGTATGGGATGTTCAAAAAAAGGAACAAAAAACTATGTCTTTATCTTTGATTTCTGTTTTATTTTTTCCATCACTTTAAGAATATTCTGTTCAGTCCGAACAATATCTCGATGTGTCGGTGGCAATCTTTTTCGACAGATGGCGAGAGATCTTTGAAAGTAATCTAATGCCTTGGCATAATCACCTATACGTTCGTTGTATAACCATCCAAGATTATTGTATGATGTAGCAATATCAGGATGATCATGAGGTAATGTAGCCAGTCGAATGTTCAAACACTTATCGTAATATTCGAAAGCCATTTGCACTTCATTCATCGCACTATATGTAATAGCGGAACGATTGTAAGTCGCTAGGAGATCTGGATGATCTGATGGTAAAATCTTTTCTTGTATGTATAGAGCTTTCTTCAAATTTTTCAATGCTTGATCGTATTGCTTTTTTCTCCAATAAATCAAACCCATAGAGCTATACAATTTACCTTTTTCGTTACAAATATCGGGAAGAAGTTCATCAATCAACGATAGAGCTCTTTGAGTATTATTCAAAGCTTCATCATATTCATTTAACCAATGATCGGCCCATCCAAGACCACTATATCCAATGCTTTCATCTATTTGAGCTTCGAAAATCATACGTTTGTAACATTTTCGTGCTTGTTCATATTCACCCATTTCAGTTAAAATTTTCCCAATAGAATGCAAATTTGTTTCATCGCCAATTTTTTCTTTCATATGAACAAACGTCTCTTTCAAATGATAATCATCTTCGTTGGCCAACGTCACATGTACAATCCAAAATTGCTTCTCGTTGTCTCTATTGACTGATTCTATTCGAAACAGGGCACCAAGCATGATAAGAACTTCATCTTCACATTTAAAATAACTCAGTTGATCAATATTACTAAAAGCTTTTGTTTTAGCACGTGGATCAATATTGATTTCGAATAAGACTCGGTCAATTTCGTCATGTATTTCAATCGTGTTAACAAAACTAAGAGCAGTTGAACGGCGAAGACTAGTTGAAAGGAATGAATTCATCGAAATAAATTCACCTATACTCGCTTTTATTAATTTCAATTCGTTGACATGAATTGCTTGTCCACGATAAACTCGAATAATATCACGTGTTGGCATTTCACGTAGGCAACGATCATATTCCTTATTCAATTGTTTCGATAGATCAGTAATAAAAAATCGAAGTAGAAAAAGCATATCGAAATCTTGAATACGTAATGCTTTATTCAAAATACGATAGAAACAACATTCACGTGTATACCACCAGATGGCATTTTCTGATTTGTAGGTTGATTCAAATTCATTAATAATAGAAAGTTCTAAAGAATTTTCTCGATAATTTTTTTTGCAAATATCAATGAGTTCTTGTCGTGCATTTGATGTGTGATGCATACGGAGAAGAACTTCAATGAACAATTGAAACCACATGAACATAGCATTTCGACTTTCCAAAGATTGTGTACTGCTACTCATAACTGCAATAGTTGCTGATTCTTCGACTTTGATTCGTGTAATTTGATCTTGGGCTATTTGATCAACGAGCTTTGATCGATTAACAAAAATGCCTTTTACCTATGAATATAAAGCAGTCAAAGTGCTTGTAATTCAAAATAAAACATAAGATTTAATTATATTTATATATGGTGTGATAGAACTTGAGTTTTACAAAATCATGTACACCAAATAAAAAGGTTTGAAATAAATGTTCTGTGAAAAAAAATATCGAAAGTAAAATTCGATATGCTATAAATGAAACCAAGTAAATACAATTAATATGTGAAAGAAATTTATCCTTTAAACTGTTGTCTATTTTTCACACAATCGAAGTGTTATACTCAGAATACAACGTGTAAAACTACATCGAGCGATATAACTTTGAAAGTGACATGAAATTGTTCAGATATTCGAAGATCTCAGTAACTCCTACAAGTAATCCAACCGTTAGTGTATCTACGTGATAAACTCTTATAGTATTGCTATTGATAAAAACATTCTTTGACAAAGCGTGAAAAAATTTCACAAAATAAACTCTCTCATTTGAAAACAATGATGGCCAAATGTTCATTTTCACGACGGATACATTGTTAGATCGTAGTCAGCATGAAAAGCTGAGCCGGATAAAAAAAAATTTTTTCGTCAAGTTTTAATTTACACTTTTATTGATTTGCACATTAGCTATCGTCGAAATAAGATTAAAAATATTTTCTCTCTCTTAAAACTAATACAGTCTTTCATTTTGAATCTTAATATAGGATGTATTTTGTTGAAAACTGGAGATTTTATTTCTCTCTATGTTCAAAAATAAGCGTACTTTGTAATTAACGATTTTCAATTTATGCTAAAAAAAGAAAAGTTTCTTTATGAATGATCAGGTGTAGTGAATTACTTGTAACAATGCAGAATCCATTAGAGTACCTGTTAGTTCATTCCAGAATAGGAACAATCGAATTGTTAATAACGATCTGATGGAGTTATTTCTATTTGTACTTTATAATGGATGTTATAAGATAGATATCTATGTCAAATGAACTGTCTGCGATTTTATGAAACAAAGCTAAGAGTATCTCATCTTAAGTGTTCTTCGAATAACCTATTTATCGTCGTCACTTTTTTACTATTTTATGCTCTTGATAAGCTCTACCTATACTAATCAGGATTCTTTTAAAATGAATTCAAATCATGATCAAATGATCTTTATAATGTTTTTTCACAGAAGAAACCTTCTGGTCAAAGATAATCAATTAAACTATTTAGAGTCCTGGAAATCAGTTCCATTGATCGTAAGCAGCAAATCATCAAAGACTGAAGCATTCACAGTATGAAGAACTTTACTGCCCAACTGGTTTTTAGATAGAGATGATTTTGAGGATATAAAACAGCTATGACTTTCAATAACTAGCTAGTTATAAAAAAGAAAAGAACGAGAGTCAGTTGAGAGTATTCAATCTCTTCATATATAGAATGTGTCTGATACTCTGCAGTTTCTAAATATTATCATAAGGTAAGAAGATCCTTCATTCTTTGTCAAATCTCCTGCTACATATCTAATTCAAAATGTTAACTTTCTAACATTAACTAGATGCGTAACATACTTTTGCATATTTGTTCGTCCATTGTTCGTTGGCTGATTGATCTCGACATAAAATATAGCATGCACTAAACTGTGCAAGATCATGAAGACGTGGAATTAATTGGCGACCTAAAGTATCTGAACAGATAAGAACTACTTTCTCGTGTGTAATATTTCTGATGGCTTGTTCACATTCTTTCGCAATATCGAATGTTTCTACATGATTGATAATATGTTTCAGTTCTTCCAATATTTTTCGATTGTCTTCCGTCGTATAAATATCTTGATCAAGCCAAAAGCAAGCAAATATATCGATATTCGAATTTGCTTTTGCTGGATTTACAGATTTTGTGTCTTTTGTTGTATGGGCTGATGACGAAAGATCTAAACTCGATGTGGTTGTTATTGTTATCTTTCTACTTTATAGGAGTATTAATTTATCTTTACTTTATTTAATAAATAAATATACAGTGTGGCCCAAAAGTAAGGAAAAATAATAAAGAGTATCACATAATAACTGATGATAAAGTTTTAATGATATTTTTCATACTTTTTATTAATGTAGAGGTCTGAAAGTTTCAGAAATAAAAGGTCTTGATTAGATATGTATGTGATAAAAATTTCAGGTCTCTACATTAATTAAAAGTATGACAAATATCATTAAAAATTTATTATCAGTTATTATGGGATATCCTTTATTATTTTTTCTTACTTTTGGATCACTCTGTATATAGTAGGCTCTAATTCAAGATTCAGGTCAATCTAAGATTTACCGAGACTATTCTATGATTCAAGTTTGAACTAACTCCACTCTTGCACCTATTAGAAGATACCTTGCACTTTTTTGTCATGACGAAGCTTTGAATTTCGATAATTGTGACAATTGTAATTATGATTCAAATGTTAAAATTATTTTGACCTATGATAAATGTGAAAGTGAATTATTTAGTATGTTTATCTTAATATCTTTAATTGAAACTCGAAGAAGACGATGACTGTTCAATGAAGAAATAGGATCAACGATAAAGAAAATACATAGATGCATTTCTATTTTTAGCACATATAGTCTTAACGTCCAGACTCTAGCAACTAGAGAAGAGAGAAGCCACAGGTTATTAGATATCTGCTCATAGCAAAAGAAAATGGCATGTAAGCAATATGCAAAAGGGCATTATTGTTGATATCGATTAATAAGACGATGGTATTTTTGATTCAGTAGAATCAGACGAAGATGGAGATAGAAAAATGTGAGCTAAATGAATTCTAATTTTAGGCAAAACTCAACATTATGTATCTAAAATTGTTGAGAGAAAGGATAATATGCGCGATACTTTATTGAGCGATAAAATCAAGATGTACAGCATGCTAACATAGAAGTTGAATCAACGAAATGGAAAGCAATAATTATATTTGCTGCTTTCTTAGATTATTTTAAAACCGCTAATAATATATATTAAACTTTTAACAATCACAGTTTGTGAGTTTCACACATTGGTCTCTTCAGGAGTCGTACTCACAATTCTTTTTTCAATAGGGACTTCATTTTATCTTTATTTTATAAAAATAAAGATTCTATTTATATTCATTTTTTATTAAGGGGCAAAATAAAGATAAATTAACACTTCATACTACTTTGTAATGAAGTTTTTCTCGGTTCAGCATTAGACGAACGTGTTGAAGAATGTCTACTGGTTGCCATCGCTGTAATACGAATTCTTCCGAAAAAAATATCGTTACAGTATGAAATATAGTTGATTG